GACGCCTAAAATGACATGCAGCATCAGGATCACCATCACAACAACCAAAATGATGAACACATACGGATGAAGATGAGGCAGGATCCGGGTCTGTGCCTGTGGTAGCTGCTGATGTGGAACCGCCTCAATGGCCCAGAAGCGTTGTGACGGCATCCAATGCATGCAGCATAGGACGACCGAATTGCGGCATAGCAGAGGCTATGATTATGGGATAAGTATAGGCACAAAGAAACACAACGGCTGCACGTACCAGACATTGAGAACAAGAAGAGCGCCATTACGAATGCTGAGACGGCGGGTGATGAACGTCGAGCGGAAAAGAAGCATCATCTTGGCTTGAAGGTTGAAAGAACGAATAGGTAGGAAGAGAATGAGTGAGCGGGTAGTAGAGCTCAAGGTATCGTTGCCGATGGAAGCTCTGTTATAAGACGAGAAAAGGAAGGCGGCTCTGAGACTTGTAAGTACGAGCAGTTACTGTGCAGTTACTGTGCTGGCACTTCCTGACTCACCTATATAGTCCCGATTCCAGCTACAAGACGCGTCATATATGGAAACTACTATGAAGATAGATGCCATCGAGGTAAGGCACTGCGACTTCGAGGGAATGTCCCTGCCGATTATTAATGGGACTAGACAAAAGCCATGGGTACACTTACATTGCGGAGTTGCAGGGCCCATCAACCTACCGTCTTTGTATTATTTACCAATATAAACTGATTCCACGCGGGGTGATTCACTAGGTCGTATGCCGAGTACAAGAACTCCAGTAATTTCTGCGAAGGTCTTGACAAAGTAAGTCCCAATACGGAAACAGGCTGCGGTTTAAATGTTTGTGCGTGTTTGGGAACCCCAACCCTAGATCATGGTTCAATGTTTGTTATTGATGATCTGGAGCAAGGAATTGATGAGCCACAAAATAGGGTACTAGTAAGCTAAGAGTGCGCACTGTAGGAAAAATAAAAGGAGCAAACTCAATCGACATCATCCACTACTCCCCCCGGACAAGACTGAGAGTTATTTATCGCAATGAACGTTACGCCCCCAGAATTACTTGATTGATTACTTGATTGGCTTGGTGCTTGGGAGGTATTGGGGGTGCATGGCGGCTTTTGCTTGCTCTTTGGCTTTGCAAACCTGCGCCTCTGCTGTCTGCAGAAATCCCACAGCGCATCAAGGGCGTCACAGAGAAAGAGTTTACTTGGTTTCTCAGAGAGCCTTTGTCGTCAGTTCAATCAGTGATCTAAGGGATGAGCGGGGAGGAACCCACCGTCCCGTCATTTCATCAACTATATCTGGCGCACCCAAGAACGGCATCATCTCGATGATCACAGCATACACCTTCAGTAATACTGACATCCCTCCCTTGATTGTCCGTCCCGCTTCTATCCAACCCTCGAGGCGTGCCTTTAGGTTCGGACGGAAATCTTCCCGCAGGTCATCCAGATCCGGATCCTGGACATCTATGTCGATGTACCCGAGCGGGTCAGTATCGTCCATAGCCCCTTCCATCCCAGGGGGGAGAGGAAGCCCCATCATGAGCGCCGCCAGTGCCATCGGATGGGCAGTTTCACTTGTAGGCGATACTACAGCACCCACCCAGCGGTCAATCCGCCCTCGTCGACCCAGTGCTTCCAGGCGCAATGCTATGATCTCGGTCAGCTCCGTCTTATTGGCCTGAACATCAATATGACAAAATGCGCTCCGCACGGCGGCGCGGATGGCGTGCACAGTGTCGAGCAGCTCTTTCTCGACGATGCGTAGTGCATTGAGCTGGTAGGGTGGTTCTGCGGCAAGTATTATGGTTGCAAGCTGGTGTGCGGGCGCGTCGCGGGGACGCAGAGGTGAGAGTGGTTGGCGAGTAGGGTATTGATATTATCTGTATGTGAATGCAATGCACATATATGCAGTGCTGTAGCAAATTCTCGGGGCTGTAAGTGGCGATACGCATTAGTGTGGGGAGGAGCTCTTCGCAAAGGTCATCCTCGTCCGTTCCATCCGCTTCAGATATGTCGCCGATACTTGCAAAGAGAATTGGACTGGGCATGGTAGCAAAGAGAGAAATGAGAGACGTGCGGATGAGCTTGCGCAGGGATATGTGAACGTCATTGAACTTGCTAGACCAATGGCATGCGTGGAAACCACAGGCACATTGAGCATCGCTACAAGCGGTGCCAGCGGAGTTTCCGTCAGTGTCCGTGTAGTCTTCACTGTAATCATCGTCATAATCGATATCATCATCGAAATCAAAGTCGTCGTCATCTTCGTCGTCATCGGCTGGTGCCATGGTGTAAAGGTCATCACAGTTCAGTCGTCAGTGGAGCTTACGTTTTTGACCACCGTAGAGTAATCGCTCGAGGGCGTTCCAGCCGAATTCGGTGCGAATATCGTCGAGCATATCTGGGATGGCAGACTTCTGACGCTTAGTGCCATCGGCAAGCATGACTACGAAAAGGTCGCGCCAAATCCAAAGCATAACACGCTGGAGGTTGTGTGCGCCAGTGAAATGGAAAGACTTGACGACCTTGCCAGAGGAGCCTGATCTTTACAGAAATGTACATGTTCATAAAAGAACACTTGCACCTGAAACGATAAAGCAACACAAATGATGACATGATGACACCTTACCGACCCGCGCGTTACCGATCTGTTCGACCGCTTGAGACACGTACAAAAGACAAGCATGGGCCTTTGAAAAATTTGTACCGTACTCGTATATGACTCTCCATATATCATTGAGCCAGTCGATGACGCTCTCGATGACTTCTGCGAGGAGTTCTTCTTTGCGAGACTTTTCTTTCACGTAAGAACGTTTGTGGTCGCGGGCGAGTTCGTCCAGGAGTGAAGCGATCTCCAACTTCTTTGCTTTCAGGTTCAAAGATGGCATGCTGGCATATTTTTATGCATGCGTGCTGCTGATGCAAGAGTGCGGTTTGATTTCTCTTTGGAAACTACATCGAGGAGCGGTGCAAGTGAACTCTCGACAAGAGCATGCTGTGCATCGGCTGGAAGGGATTCGTAGAGCTGTAGAAACCTAGAACAATAATGAGCCCCAACAAATACAATGAACGTAAAGCTTACTTTGTACTGGCTGAGCTGGACGCCATCAAATGCGATGAGTTCGCACTGAGACGCCTTCCGTAATGTGACATATGTGCGTGACGATCATAATTGTGTGACCGTGTTTCCATTCTCCACAATAATTCGAAGCGACAGGTTCAGACTTCTGGTGAGTGCAATAATTAGAATTAACAGTTATGAACGTAGGAAATCTAAACAATCACTGTGATACAGCTGGCAAGCGCTTGATAGCACAGGAATGAAATCAATGATTGTACCCGGACCGGCGTTGCCTTGTCTGGCGTTGCCTCGAGGCAGCGCTTCCTATCACGGCCCTTACCCACCCCTACAGTCTGTTTGCAACGCAGCAAGCCACGTTGGAAACGCGCGTACGTTTGAACTTGCGGCCACTTGCGCGCACTCTTCAACTTGTTATCTTCTCAGATCTAACCTTTGCTTTCTTCCACCATCAACAGCGAAAATAAGTCATCGCGAGCTCTCATATAGCCCATGACAAGTTCACAGTCCCCACATAAGCAGAGAAAAGTTCAAATGTTTTCCGGTGTTCAAGGTCTGTGCCATTTATTTTTTGCTCTCGTGCCTATTGTTCCCATCGCAGCCCAAGTGTGGATCATCATCAACCATCATGATTAGCTTGTTCCGGGCGTTCGTGCGTTACCGATACATTATTCACATCATCTATTTTACGTCCCCTACGATAGTCACGCTTCTTCCATTGTCATTCACCGGTCGTATCACAACGCTAGCGGATCTTCTCTTATCCAATAACTACTCCAAACCCCAAAACTGACCCTTTATATCAGGTTCATCCCAGAACACACCACCTCGTGAAATGTCCCCATCTCCGAGACAAAGGACGATCAAGGCCCAATCTCTGCCCGCGTACCCTCCGTCATGCAGATTTACGGAGCACCAACTCAGTCTGCAAATCAGCCGCCAGTGCACAACAAGCGAGTCCACCACTGCAAACATCTCCCCGCAGTCAAAACGAACTTCCTCGCCGCCTGCCCTCACGCAAACCCGCACCCAACGTGACTAAACCTCCCATCTCCACTCAATCAGCCGTCTCATCTCCGGGAAGAAGCAATCCAGGGGCACTATTCTCCCTCGGCTTCAATTCACCCGAACATGCATCAAGCACCACCTCCCCCTCTCCAACATTCGCTCAGCCAGCCACAACGTGCATCAGCCACCTCCTCTACCCAGCACTCACTCAGTCAGCCCAACATCCACGCCCACCTCATGAATCCACAAATGGGCTACCCACGCCCTATTAACAGGGTGGCTCCTCCACAGTTCTTAACACACTTCCATGCAATGGAGGAGAATTGGCAAATGACAGAAGAGCTCATGGCAGAGATTGAGCGAGCTGACTATGCGCAGGCTCTGAGTCAGCAGCCGCCCGTGCCTGGAATGTCTGGCGTCGCCTACGCCGGTGGCGCAGCGAGTGGCGCCGTGTATGTACGCGAGGTGCCGTCACCTCTCAAAGACCCCGTCGGTGATCGTGTCCGCGCGAACGAACGGTCTAGTCCAAAGGATGCAGACGGTCAGGGGAGCGGCGGCATGCAGCGCTCCCGCTCCATCCGCGTTGTCGAACGCGAGAAGGAAATCCAGCCGAGCGATAGTGCTCGTGCACGCGAGCGTTCCCTTCCAGTCCAGTCAGACTGGGTCTCCGTCCTACTCACCCATCGGGACACCCCCAGCAGCGTGCGCCCTCTCCTGAGCGCACTTCTCCACCTTACCACACGCCTACTGGCTCGTCAGGTGGTGAGAGTGTGACTGCAGTGGACGTAGACTACGTCTCGTATAAGCGGGACTCGTATCAATCTAATGGGAGCTCTTCCCTTAGGCTTCCCAGTCCTCCGCCCACTGTGCGGAAAGCCATTGTCGCCGACAATGCTCGTGTGACGCCACCTGCGGTCAGCAAGTTTGCCAGCAACACTCCTCCCCTGCAGGCCATGAAGACCCGAACTCCCGACAAGTCACTGCCTGTCCAAGAAGAGCCAGAAGACGAAATCACAACCCCTAAGAACGGCGACAACTATACTCACGGGAACGACTATCATGAGGAGGAGGATGATAATGATACTCTCATTGAAAACGACCATGATTTCCCCATCGACGGTAACGGAGACCGCGATGGAGAAAATAGAGTCGTACACCCCACGCTCACCCACTGCCAGCTTACCCGAACCATATACCGCCAGGCAATACCCCGCGCAGTCCGCAAATCAGCGCCTCTCGAGCCTCACAAAGCACCACCGCAATGGCAGCACAGACAGACTTGGCCTCCGAAGCTTCGACGCAGCCGTCTTTGAAAAGCCTCCCATCAGATCCACTGAGGAGCGCCGTGAGTCGCCCGCACTTCCTGTGAGGCTGACGACTGAGCAGGTTGACTCTGTACCAGAGCATAATCTACAGCAACAACACAGCCACACGTTTTCTGATACTCGTGGTGCGGAACAGCAGCAGCAGCAGAGCAACGGACGACCGCACCCGCTGCAACATCAAGTCTACTCGGATGATCAGAATCATGATGATCCCGCAGCTGCCTATATATCGCATTACTTCCAGTCTCCTCGTCCAGTTGCGCCCATACCGCCCACGCCTCATAGCCAAACTGCTGCTCCATCACCGTTGATATCTAGCATGCAAAGTATGCAAGCCAGCCCGGCACCTCCAGTGGGCTCGCCATATCCCTACCCATTCTCTCACGTTCGGCGGAACAACGTCTATTCTAGCTATCCCATCCACACTGCGCCTTCCTCCAACTACGACCCCAACCATCCCTCGGTGATCGAAGAGCAACTCGCTCTCCAGATGCAGATGTACGCCTTGAACAACCACGCAGCATTATCCGACTCCACGTTCTCGCCATCGTCAACACCCTTCCCTGGACCTGGATACAACCCATGGGCATTCCTGCAGGCATCTCGTGCGTTCGGAGGAGGCGTGCGGCCACGTTTCGACTCCACTGCAACGATGAGTATCCAGTCGAGCCCGAGTCACCAACCAGTCAGCCTTCCGTTCCCGACTGGCAAAATCAAGCGCCGTCAGGCATCCGCGGATCTACGAGTCCAGAGCACAAAGCGGAAGATTAAGCCGCCGCCCCGTGTGGAAAGCACGCAGCCACGGGATACGAGCCCAGAGCCGTACTCGTCTGGTGAGGAAACCGCTGGCGAGGAACACTTTGAGGTTACTGAGGAGGGGAACTGGGTGAATGGGATGATGCCTGATGATGGTACTGAGTGGGTGGATGAAGACGAGGAAGAAAAGGATGACTTGTTAGACTTGGAGTATCACCCGAACTATGTCAACAACATCGAAAAGAGACGCAGGAGGTGGGATACGCGTTGGGAGGCTCTGCATCAGGCGGTTGAGATGACTTGTTGTCAAAAGCCATGGGTGGATGCTGACATTTGCCGTCGTATCATCATAGTTCCAAGCGCTTGATTGTGAGACGGATACGACGATGGTCCTCCTTGCTGCACCCTCACATTCTACAAAACTGCATGCTTTGACATCACGCTCGATTCGTCGTGAAATAGGGACACAGTCTCCGAGCATGCACAACATACGAAACTCTTTCCGAGGCATTGCTGCTCGTCGACGAGCATCCCGCGCCAAGGGTACAACGCTCGTTGAGAGGTTTCTCAACTCGACTTCTTCTTCTGGCGATGGTTCAGACGGCAGTTCGGAATCGCGGGAAGGCGACCTCAAGCGCGCGCTCGAGACTGCTCTTGGTAGTCTCGGTGCTCTTCGCTCAATATATGACCACCGTGTTGCACGCTGGGAAGACGAGATGGGGCGCATCAGCGACGAGCGGGACCGCGTTGAAATGCTGCTCCGCCAGACCCTAGGTGTTGGTTTGCAAAACGGTAATGGCCTTCCTGAGGCGTAACTTATCCAATGTTGTGACCTACCCCGATGTATGCATTCATATGACCCTACTGTCCTATGCTGTACTGTACTTATGGACGCTGCCTATGTTGTTTCATGTAACATCTTGCATACGTCGACTCTAGATATGTTCATCTGGTGGATTATACCACTGATCCATGTACATAATGCACCATGTTTGCTATCGCTATTGTACACTTGTCCTTGAGTGTCTACTAGGTCCTTGAATTGTGAATAAGATACAGGAATAGGCCGTGGATTACAATTCGTCCGAGAGGACTCGCTGGTCTGGCGTGAAGGAATGATTCAAGGTCTCCAACCATGCTCTGAGAAGGCCATTGAATACTTGTGGGTGCTCGAGGTGGGGCCAGTGGGCACCTTCCATTGTCTACATTCGATTATCACCGTAGTCCTTGGCGAAAGGGTCATATCACGCACCTTGGTCGTCAGTCGTGGCAGGAACTCCGCGGATTTCAAGTACTTGGCGGCGAATACCCAGTCTGCAACAGGATCCTGTGGTAGTCCGCATGAGAAAGGCCCTGTAACAGGGCAGACAACCCACGTTTAGAGGCAAAACAGATAAGACGGGCTGGGGAATGGTGTAATTTCCTTGCGCTTGAGTTGATTCCCATGTTCCATAGCGGTTCTAAGCACCTCATTCAGTTATGGGTGCATTGTAAGAATATATCTAACGCACTCCGCGAGTGTAGAATATGAGAGCTGTGGGTTATCGATTAGCTTAGTATGGTATGCGAGGAAATTTGTTTCGTACTATGGTCAAATTTCTGTATACTGAACCGTTCGACAAAATACTCTTCATCGGAGGAGGTGAAGAACGGGATTGGAGGAATCTAGTCAAGGTCAGTAAGCTTTGTCCTAGAATGAGCGCTAATCGTACCTCCGTCACATTGTCATATGCACTGAGATAATTACTGGTGCTTGTGAGGAAACTATCTGGAGGGGCGCTGTTGACTGTGCGCAACGTAGCGCGTAGGCTTCTCCTGATATCCTTGTTCAGCTCAGCTACAGCTTCTGTTGTGTGGTTCTCGAAGAAAACTTGGTAAGCTAACTTGGGCATGACTGCTGCAAGCTGAGCGCTGTCTGCAAAGGGGCCAGCAGCGTGCAAATACTGGTTATGATTGTTAGGCAGGGAAATTTGTAAAACAACGATCTGTTTACCGGAACAGTCACGCCAACCAAGGCATAGAAGATATCAGGTCGTCTCCTCGCAGCCTCGTAGCAGACTTCAGCACCCCAGTCATGACTATAAAAATATGAGGTGAGTCGGGCCAGATCTTCTACAAAACATACCCGAGACAAATAGCAGATTGAATGCCAACATGTTCAAGAACGCAAGTGAGATCGCCAGTAATATCAGCCAACGTGCTGGACGACTGTACATCAGCGGGATGTGTTGAACCCCCGAAACCACGGACGTCGATAGCAATCATACGATACTCGTCCTGAAACAGATCAGCATGACGGTCATCAGCTGATGAAAGAGATATCTACCTTGAACTCTTCGATCTGGTACCCCCCAGGAGCTCCAAAGACTGGGCCAGCCGTGGACCATGATGATGCTCTTCTCCGCAGTCGGGTTGACGTCTACATAATCTATGACAATAATAAACATCTTTGTAGGCAAGACACGCGCATATATGCGTACCAATGGTAATATTGACCTCTTCGTCCAGGACGCGATCCACAGCTTTGCAACTGGTAGACTGGATAGTATACGCCCTTGCATTGAAGGCAACAGCTCCCACCACGAATGAAAGGGAAAAGGGAAGAACAAGGTAGGTAGACCAATGCATTGGACGTAGTACTTTCTACTAACTCGTAGTTGTGTCTACTGAGTGACTGGACGGACTTCAACGTTCAACGTTTCGACTTCAATAATCAACATGGAAGATGCCGCTTGGAATTCTGCATGCCTACTGGGCAGATTCCGACGGAATGACCACAGGTCCATGAGCTGATTGTGTAGGTAGACCAACTTATAGAGGGGATGTTGTCGTTCCTTCAATGTCGGATTTAGTGAAAACAGGTGTCAACAAGCGACATCTGTCGAAAACAACTTGAACGTATATATCCTCCTACACTGCTAATCGGGATAAACCTGAACCTAGCATGCGTAATCATACCTTTATGGGATCTGTGCGAACCCCAGTACTATCATAATATATACATTTACCAAAGGATTTCCGTCAATGTAGTAATGGCGGCATGAAGCAAACCATAAAAGGATATTGGTAGCAAAGGTCAAGCAGATATTGGGATCCTCTCTGACGAGTATGGTGTCAGGGACGGTCCACTATCATGTACTAACATATTACAAACCATCATAGCCTAACATTGCGACAGGGTCAAATGCTGAGGTCTGGTTGGCCTCACACCTATGTTGTGCGTTTGCAATACAGTCATAGTGTTATCGTATTACTGTATTTCTGTATTTACTCTAACACCGGTGCTTCACAGCATGATCGGGCAGAACGAGGGCAAGCATTGATTGATCTAATTTACAAACAACAAATATAACTAGATGAAACACGCTACAAAAACGGAGGGACGGTAAAAATAAGCTGAAAATCATCCCATATACTTGTGCGAATCTCATCCAGGATGTCCTGGCTGAGAGGGCTATCAGCTGGTATAGTCAGGTTGTCCGCCGTCCAAGACTTGATAAATTTCCCTTCCAAACTGATCTTAGGGTTCCAGTTAGGCCAGGGCCCCTGAGGAAAGTCTGGATTGGCGGCAATGAATGCCATCCAGAATGCGTCACAGCCCCAAGCCCACTCAGGCGCTCTAATGTCCCGAATGGTGTCAACCAGCCAAGTTTCCACCTGTCTGGCGAGCACAGACCAACTGGCCTCGGACAAGGGATTGAAAGATGGCGGAAGTGGCAAGAAGGGTATCTGCATGAATGTAAGGTTCAACATCAGCAAACTACCGGTTTTGGATACAAGATTCCCACAGCGACACAACTAGCACAGCCCCACAGTGGTACAGCGCACAGAGCGCACAGAGTGACAGTGCGGCACAGTCTCGCACAGTGCACAGGGTCAGGCGATAAAATGTGATGTAAATTATAGATTAATATCAATATCTTGCTGGTCTTCATCAAAACACGAGATCTCGGAGAATGCATTTCACAGTGTGACAACTTATATTCATTTAATAAAGTACTTCAACAGATAGCTAAAATATAAAATGTGCAATGCGTATATGTATTGACAATCATGTACACAGTACAAGGCTATGGTCACAATGCAACATCCAACAGACAGATATTCTAATCAGCTGTACTCATCAGCGACTGCATACCGATTTTAAGAACGAATTCGCTTACATGACTTGATGGTGGATTTTGGACGAGGAGACCAAAGTGACCGCTCTGAGCAGACAAACCCGCACCTCACCACGAGAGCGCGTGTGCGCCCTACATTAGCTTCCGCATCTCCAAAATTTCTCTTTGCCCTCTTCGCTCGAAGTCGTAGGTGGTGTTTGCGCATGCGAAATTGATGAAGAAGCCGCTCAGCAAGGTCCTTCTCGAGACGTCGAACTTCGAGATCAGCTCGTGCCATCTCGAGCAGGTAAGATGCTTCCTCTGAAGTCTCCGGCATTGAGTCCATGTAAGCGTCAAATGGTTCATTTGGGTAGCGGCGTATGTACTGTAGATAAAACTGATTCAAGGCAAGTGTTAGAATCCAGCCCATAACTCACCATATTATACACTTCCGAGGAGTCAGATGTATCATCTGAGATGTCGGAAGGAGTTACAGAATCTGAGATTTGTTGGCCTCGACATAGCGAATACGGGGATTGAGATGATTGAGATGGTGAGGCATAGCTTGAACGACACTTCGACATTGTAGTTACAGTTTGCGTCGTCCCGGAAATTGCCGGGACAATATTGAATCCAAATGAGTTCAATGACTTACTTCGCACCTTCGATATGCGCTGCCCCTCCTGCAGCAAGCGTTTTAAGAATGAGGGACGCTTTCTGCAACACCTGAATCAGCCTTCTTCTCACTGTTACAAGTGGGATGGTAACCTAGTTTCGCATCTTAAGACCAGCACAAGCTCCAAGTCCTCAATTTCCTCTCCACAACGACATGGACCCGACCTTTGACCCGGAGTATATGGACCATGGAGTTGATGCAGACACTGGAGCGGAGTATGGGTCTTCAGGCTCGCAGGCAGATTACGGTGAAGAAGTGGAGTTTTATGACGGTGCAGGCAAGACGTGGGGTGTTGGGAAGACTTTCATGGACCAATTCAACGAGGATGAATATGCTGCAGAGAGGGAGCAAAACCAATACTTTCCTTTCGCTAGCAAACCGGACTGGGAGATGGCATCGTATATTCTTCGGTCCGATCTTAGCATGGCCGAAATCGACGAGTACCTCAATCTTGAATTTGTGAGTTCATCTATCCTCTAAATTTCTTCGTCTAAACTTATGTTCAGACCAAAACACTCCCGTTGTCATTTCGCTCTTCGCGAGAACTCCGAGGACGTGTTGAATTGCTCCCAGCTCCCCCTCAATGGAAGTATCAAAAAATCACTACCGAGTTTCCAACGACAAAAACCCTTCAAATATTTTATCGGGACGCAATCGAGTGCTTGCAGTCACTTCTCAGTCACCCACTGTTGGCCGCCAGCTTTGATTTCATCCCATGCAAGGTTTACGAGTCTGCCGAACGTGCGGTTCGAGTTTATCATGGTTTCATGACAGGCGATCATGCTTGGAACCTTCAGGTAAGGTCTCGTGTCTTGATTCCTCGTTCTGTATAACTAACAAGACCACAGAAAGACCTACCTGAAGGTGCATCCCTCCTTGGTGTAGTCCTCTCCTCGGACAAGACCAAGGTCAGCAACATCGCTGGCAACCGTTACGCGCATCCACTTCTTGTTAGTCTCGCCAATATTGATCCTGGAGTGCGTGCCAAAGGCTCCTTACATGCATATATCCCACTTGCTTTGCTTCCTGTTGCAAAGTTCTTGCACAGGAACAAGCGCATGCATGGGGTTCTCGCAGACCGTTTACTTCACCAATGTATCGACCTCGTTGTTGAGCCATTGAAGCAGGCTGCCCGTCTTGGCGTTATGATGAGTGATCCCACGGGGTTTTAGCAGGTATTGCTTCACCCCCCTCGTTGCTTATGTCGCAGATACTCCGGAGGAACTTGTAATTGCATGCGCCACTATGAACTCATCGCCTGTCACTATGGCTACCCGTGAAGACTTTGGAGACCCAATCCGACACCCTCCTCGTGATGGATCATCAACCCTTGCCAACATTGCAGCGATTATAACATCTATCTCACCTTCCGATCTCATCCCGTTCTTCGAGGCATGCAAACGCTACAATCTAAACGGTGTTGACTTGCCATTCTGGAGGAATTGGCTTACCGCAAATCCTTCCTCCTTCCTCACTCCAGAACTACTTCACCATCTCCATAAAATGTTCTGGGACCATGATCGTCTCTGGTGCACAACAGTGGTTGGCTCGCAGGAAATTGATTTTCGTTTTGCGCTCCTCCAGGTGTGCACTGGTTACCGTGCATTCAAGGAGGGAATCTCCGCTTTGAAGCAAGCCACCGGGCGAGACCATCGCAACGTTCAACGGTATATTGTTGGCGTGATTGCTGGTGCTGCCCCTGCCGACTTCATATCTGCTATTCGGGCCCCTCATGGAGTTTAGATACCTCGCTCAAGCCCCGCATTTCACCGACAAGCAAGTGGTAGATTTAGACCGTCTGTCTTAAAGTCTTTCATCGGTTCAAACAGTCTATCGTTGACGCTGGTGCTCGGCGGGGGGAAAGGGGGTGGGGATAAAGCCATGGGCGATTCCAAAGCTCGAGCTGCTGCAGGGGGTAGTGCCCAGTATTTGTTCACACGGCGCTGTCATGCAGTGGTCTGCAGACCCCACTGAACATGCGCACATCAAGGTTGTGAAGGAGCCAGCGAGGGCAGGGAACAATCACGACTACGACGCGCAAGTGTGTCGCCACCCTCGATCGTCGTGATAAGGGTGGAGCGTTTTGACCTCGCACTCAGATGCGTGCACAGGAGGACCACGAAAGGGACGAAGACAACGAGGGTGGTCTTGTCCAGCATTTTGTCAAGGACTACTTTGCTTGCGCGCGCGACTCATTAATGGTGTTCATCCTCAAGCTCCCCGTCCCTATCGAACATTCTCCACCTCAATTAACGCTTACATCTCAGCTATGACCCCACGCACACGAAAATGACAGTGGATAAGGCTGCTGAAAACTTCTCCTCTTCCTGACCTCCGTCCCGCAGTCTCCGATTATCTTGACCAGGTTGATGCGCATGTTTGATCACTTCGCTGTTGGTGGGAGGCGCCATGCCCACCCTGGCTGCCCCTCCCCTTTGAACGCATTCAAGTATGGTGCAAGATACGGACACAATCAAAATCTTTTCACGACCCTGCACAGCTTGAGCCCAGCGCAAACGCTACATGCTCAAACCACCCTCCAGTGCCTGGCCATACGGCCGATATGACTCTGTCATCGTTAGTTCAGGCAACACGCACAAGTTGGCCAAAAAGTGGACTGGATGGTATGTTTTATGTCTATATACCGTCACGCTCTGATGTTGAACAAACGCAGGACACTTTGTTTGCTCACCTTCGCTTGATTTTTTCGTCCCCATCACGACACCTCTCATATTCCGAATCATATCTTGCATATGTTGAACGTTTGGATGTTGTGACTCTCGACGATTCTACGGGTATGTATATTCTCAGGCGTGCTCGACGAGCGAATAATGACCGGATTGGCGATGTCATCCCAATAACTCAGATTGTGGCACCCGTCCATCTCATCCCGCGTTTTGGTCCAAAAGCCGATCCGCGACTGACGATGCAAAGCAGCATTAACCATGCCACAGAGTTTTACCTGAATAAATTCTGGAATAAGGAGCTTTTCTTTGCGCTTCATGTGACTAGTAGATAAGCTCTTAGCATTAGACAGATAGGGGTATTCACTAGAATGGTGGTTTTTTTCATTGGCCCTTGTTTTTAGCCCATCGTGAGAGTCGCTGCGGCATAGCACCCAAACCATGTAGGCTGACACGTCAGTTACAGTTTCTTTGTTCCTTGAAGTCTTTTAATGGCTGCGGTCTTTGGAGACTTTGGAGGAGATGCATACTACTATACAGCTCGTAACTCCAGAGGCAAAAAACCCGGATCCGATACGAAAAACGAACCAACGACTCCAGGGATGCCAGTGTTATCCACGACATCTTCATGGATCTCCAACAGATCAAAACGACGTGGCCCTAAGACAGAGACCCCGCGTTCTGCAGATGTGACTTGTATGCTGACGGATCGCTTAATCTCAGCATAGATTGCTTACTTTACATATTTATAGGTAAATCATCAAACACCCCAGCAGTGGTGCCAGAGACTGAAACTGTAGCAACCGCCAAGTCCGAAGCCGACACTGCAGTCGTGCATGATCAGGTTTTGGGTATCACACATGTTATCGCTGCAAACCCAGGTAAGGGTGCTGGTCAACTAAATATTATTGTTTCTCATAGTTCGCTACTAGATGGGTGCCACGAGCAACTCGTAGATGCTCTTCGGCAGGTATGGGTGGAACCTGTATGCTTTATCAATGTCTCTGCCGAAAATCATGCCCGTGTTTTGGAGCACATGGACGCTCTCACATTTTCTAACTATCACACAAAGTACGTCATATATAAATTCAGTCAAACATTTTTCTTATGTCGATGTTGTTGTAGGATGTCATATTTTCCTCACAGGATGATTCTCATCATATACTCTCCGCTCCCTGTCCATGAAGAAACAACATCTGAGATGTCGTTCACGATCTCACATGCTCTTCACAGCATTCAGTACAACCGAACCCTCTTGAAGACCTCCGTCTTAACCAATAGTCGGATGTACTCCGAACACCTCTTCACTATACCCGACATGCAGGTGACCATGAAACCCACAACCACGACAGCCGCTGAGACGCAACTTCTCTGGATGGCCGAATCTGGATTCACTCAGTCTCGGGTTGCCATCATGACGAAAATGGAGGATACTCTTCTATCGCACGAAGAGCTCCTCCTCATTCTTATGATCTTGGTCAAAGAAAGGAAGAAATATGCCTCCCCCGCAGCAAACTCCGTTACTTGGAATCAGACACGTGAAGAGGGATCGGTGCGGACTTACAGTGAGTTCGCACCTGAACGCACTTCCGACAAGTTATTTGGGCCAGTAATAGCAATGGGGCATGAGTGGATTGATATTGAGTCTGTCGATTATTTTGTGTGGGTGAAGTCTGGGGATCAGCGGATTGACTTGGCTGCTCCTCCCACGGCGCACGGCGTGAGTCTAATGTTGCAATGATAAGAATATTTATGCTGACAAGTAGTATCTTTGCAGACACTTTTTCCGAATATTGACATGGACAATGTGACTGACGCATTGAACCATGGCTTGGATCTCGTGAAAGCCACGATGAGCAGCACCCTTGACTTAATCGAACCCAGCGTAAATCATAGGCATCTCCTCACTCCCAGCGCACTTACATTCAATTGGGAGCTTGACAGTTCCTCCATGTCAGTTGCCGTTTATGAAACTGCCCACGCCCGCTACTGCGATTGGTACCGTCGCCAATTCTCTGGTACGAAACGTCGTCGTGTGGACAATCCTACCACAGATGAGAATACCAGGCCCTCGATCAGGAGGGCATTATCCTCTGGACATGTCCAGGCGGACAACCAAGAGAACGCCAAATCTTCAATCAGCTCTGCATACGTCTCCGACACAAGCGACGAGACTGTTTCCTCCTCGGAACTAGCAACACCTGGAACCGAGTCTTCCTCTGGACTGAGTAGTGATGATTCAAATGTCTAGGTCTTGGTGAGGGGGATGGAACTTGGCTCCCTGTAGACGTATATCTTTCACTGCTCACTACACTTTCATCATGACCATTTTGTTCTATTTTCTTGTTGTACCTAGTACCCCAGCGCCATTTTCCGCACTACCGCGCGGAGTTTCAAATAAGTAGTACTTACTAGTACATGGAATGTTATACTTCTTGTCTTCGGGTTCATGTTCAACGTTTGATGGCAGGCAAACGCAAGACCATAGTACCTGATCTTGGTGAGTACACTGATTTCTATATAACAAAACTGATATGTAGCACTGCAGATGACCTCCGTCGCTCTAAGCGAAGTAACATGGGTCAAGGTGGACGCCTCACCCAACTTCAAAAGCTCGAGTCCTCACAGATGAATAGACAACGTCCAGTGAAGAAAAACCCCGCTCAGGAGATGATAGACAGCCAACCAGTAAATGTCATGGCGCCGGAGGCACCTATACGCAAACCAAGGGCAAGACCAATCAAGGCGACTAAGACATCAAGCAATGAGAAGACTGAACGACATCTTTCAAGCTCCAACTTACCACAGCGTGTTGCTGAGGACAAGCCCACTTCGCATCCTCGTAGTCCCGACTCAAGGTTTGGCTTTGTCCCACCTCCACCTGCGACCTCCGAACGCCATTTCATCCGTGCTCTCTCTAGGTTCAACAGTACACCATCAGGATCCTCCCAGCCTAACACGCCCAAACGCACCCTCACTGGCGCCCATTCGCGGAAACACGACAATCTGCGTCATCATTCCAAGTCAGATACTAGCCGTGCCCTACCAGCATCCAAACCTGTCCCTCTTGAACACACCCCCGCTGGTGCTCATTCACAGAAACGCAACGATCCACGTCCTCACTGTAATGCTAGTCGTAAACCACCGGTGTCCAAACACATCCCTCGACACACCGTCACCAGTGACAGCAATCCGCCCACTGACCTGGAATCCGATTACACTCGTCCATCACGGATGAATATTTCAGATGCCGAGGCTCCTCTACATGGCGATGAGGGCTACGACTCGGGACGAGATCACGATGTGGATGCTAACAATTCTGATCTGGACAACTCGGATGCTAGAACTAATGACGTGCAGGTGGACCATGGCAATGATGGTGATAGTGGGGAGGCGGACCAGGATGATGGTGACAGTTTTGTTGACGACCCCCACCAGGATCATGACACCTCGAAAGATAGCAACGATGGTAAGATATCCCATGCATGTGTCCATCATGCTACTGAACTTGCCCACTTGCCTTATGCAGATGAATTCACTCGTGCACGCTCACGAGTCGCCGACAGCTCACACAATGCCCGAGATGTCCTCCAAGACCATCGCGCAAAGAACTGTCGCCCTCGCATGCCTGACCTGGATGAGCTCGAGACTTTGCGTCGTCGCGCTACTACTCAAGATTCAGCTCAATCTTCTTCTGAAGAGGAGGTTGTAGTACCACGCAAGAGAACGCAGATGATCAAAGCAACTGCGCAGAACATTCGCTTCTATCCTCCTTCTTGGAAGGATTTACTAGAGGCCGCAAAGAAGAAATCACGCCTAGGCTTGCTCACTAGCACAGCGTCAAAGCGCAGTGATTTTCTCAAAACCAAGGGTATTGAATATCTCTTAGAAACACTCGAAGACTTTGGATCCCAGGGTGTTGGTGTTGACGACGGATACTGGGATGAATATAAATCTGATATGGCAGTCCTGGTATTTGTGTTCTTACTCTGTCGGATCACGCTAACAATTATTTTAGCTATGGGACGATCGCGCTACTATGCGTTCCGAAATGAAAAAGGCTGCGCGTCCGATTGTTCTGGCACATTACGAAATTCTTCCACCCGATGTTGACGACGAGAACGACTATGAGCGGGAGGTGCGTGACAACGTCAAAACATTGTTGCAGAATGGTGCTTTCCTACGGGATGGAGTAGATGCACAGGCAGGTTAATGAGAAATAGCCCCGCACTTACTGACTCACGCGGTGTGTATTAGGGCAGGACCAATAATCTTGCAAACGAGGCCCTGGGCAGCTTTTGTATGTCCTATTTTTACAAGGGTGAGAACGCGCTCGCGAAGTCATTTCCAGACTTGTTCGCCGATGCTGTCCCCGAAGGTGCCGTTGCACTTGCAGCGACTGCGGTATGTGATCTCAGGCTCGGATAATCGTCTTTGCTCATTCATCTCTAACTAGCTTGCTGCCGCTATCGACGAGTACAAGACCGGTACTTACAAGCAAATGAAATTCGTCGCCAATTTATATCAACCCATCTGTTACGAACTAGGATGGGTCTGACGTATGGCTACTCGATAAGAGTAATCGGCCAAGGTCGGTTCAAGGCTTCGGCGTATACCGATGCTTCAGAGTTTCTAAGACAAGAAGAGGAGAGTGTCCTCGACTCGAATCAAGTTCAATACGACTTAAGATTGGAGGTCTTAAGCGAAGGAGATTCCAGGTAAAACCTAGTAAGATTAAAGTAAAGAACTACATAGTACAGGGCGGGTTTATATAATAAACGGTAACGACTTTAGGGCCGGTACGATGAGGTCATAGAGACGAGTCAGAGATAAGACGAGTCAGAGATAACAAGAATAGTTCATCTAGCGACGGCAAGATGCGATCGTGATGTAATACAATGATGTAAGAGGAAGAAAATGAATAGGGGCGTACTTGACTGTAACATTACCCCGTTATTATCGTTGAAGTCACCGATTTCAACAATCAAAGTTATCGTAAGCGTCATAGTTGTCACGATCACCTGCACATTGAACGAACATTCTCTCATCTTCTTCGATAGAGATCTGTTCTAAGGCGGCGTCCTTGTCAGCCTCCCATTTAGCAAGAGCTTCATAGAAGCCTTCATCCGTCCATACTAATGGAATAGGTTTCTCGCCTTTAAGGTCTTTACAAAAGACCGAAAGATGCCCTGGCGCGAGGTTACGGCATACGCGGCAGAAATATGTTGGGCAATTCTTGTGACGATGACCGAATTCTTTACAGTAGCGACATTTGAAGTTATCAATGGGTTCGGTTTTCACGATGGTGACGGAGGACGATTGCGGAGGCGGGGATGGTGTTTTGGAACGTAAGGTGTTGTTGCGTGAGGGAGGGGAGACGGAGATCTCACGTTTGGAGGGTCGTAGACGAATGGAGCGTGAGCGAGAGGTGGTTGCCGCCGGGGCAGTAGTAAGAGCAAACGGTACGACCGGTACATCAGAAGGAGTGACAGCATCAGGCGTATGCTCAACGGGAGATAATGTCTCAACCGGAGGAGGGATGGGAACTGCGACGTGAGGGGATGGCGGTCTGGCGATTGGGTTTGTTGCAATTCGTTCAGTAACGATATGGATGGCTTCTCTAACAACTTCCTTGGTAGAGGCAGGCATGAGACGTATCGCAGAGTTGCGAATGCGAATATGAAGATGACGGAAAATGGCTTTGAAGCGTTGGTCATTCTCGCTTTCACTGAGAAGGCCTGCGGTACGCTTGATAAGATTGGCGGCGCGAATAATGTTAATGAGGAGCGTGCTAGAGAGGGCCCCTTGTTCAGCAAGGAGGCGATCTATCTCGATAGCGTATTGCTCAGAAAGGAGGGCGGATTCAAATAGCGTGTTGGTCTCGATGTCGTCAAGGATGGTGAAATAGTTTGGCGATTCAATGGTTTCAGTCAAAGTGACGGACGTAGTGGATGGGGACGTGGCAAGGGTTTCGGACATATTATCAGTGTATCGGACGAGAATTTGAAGTTGCAAGAGGCAGATCTGGAGAGTGCGGAGTTCTGAGAAAGACATCTTTTCGCAACCGTTCTTATAACTGGTGAGCTTTCTTATAAGCGGTGAGGATTGCGGAGGCGTTGCCAAGGTTTTCCGTGGGAATCCATTCGTTACTGGCAGATGAATATCCTTTCCAGGATACGAGATAGCGTCTTCGTTTACCCGTGCCCTTGTGCGATAGGATTGCTTCGACTTCGTATTCTTCTTCGTTATCAATGACGTCAGGTGGAGGATCAGGGAAGTTAGGACCATGGATTTCGGTTTCGTGATAGGACGATAATTCGGAAGCATGGAATGTGGGGTGAACCTTCCATTGCTTTGGTAACTGGAGTGTGAATGTGATTGGTGACAGCACTGCGGTGATGGTAAAGGGGCCGTAGCGTTTCGGAGCGAGTTTTCGTGATGGCAACTGCGTGATTAGATTCTTTCCCGATAACCAAACCTTATCGCCAACTTTCCACGGTTGATACTTCTTTCCGTAAGATCGTGCGGCCATTCGTTGCATTGCAAGATTGTGGCAAGAGATAGCTTCTTCTCGTATTTTCTGAAGGAGACGAAGTCGCTCTTCTGCGGCGGGAACAGTGGAGTCAGGGAGTACGTGGGGGAGAGCCCGTGGCTCGTATCCCATCATGAGGAAGAATGGGGATGCGTTGCGAGAGTCGTGTTTGCGATGATTGTGGACGAATTCGGACATGGGGATATGTTCAACCCATTCTTCTGGGTTGTTACGGCAATAGATTCGAAGATAGGTTTCTAGTTCTTGATTCAGACGTTCGGTTTGACCGTCTGTTTGCGGATGATAAGCGGTGGAAGCGGCGATGTCGTATTTCAAAAGTTTTGCAAGGGCTTTAGAGAATTTGGATACGAACTGAGGGCCTCGATCTGAGATTACTTTCTCGTGGAGCCCGAAGCGACGGTAGACGTATTTGAAGAATTTCTTTGCTACGCCTTCTGAGGTGATAGTTTTCGTACAAGGGATGAGAATTACCCCCTTCGTAAGACCATGGTCTACCACGACCATGATAGAGTCGAACCCGTTACATGGGGGAAGATCGGTGATGAGGTCGACAGAAACTTGGGAGAATGGGGTGGAGACCGAGGAGGGGATAGGGACCAATGGAGGCGTCGTGGGATGGGTATCGGATTTCATTTGCTGACAAAGGGCGCAACCCTCAACGTATTTACGGATGTAGGTTCCCATAGACGGCCACCAGAAGTCGCGTTTAACCAGTTCTTCGGTTTTAAAACGGCCGGGATGTCCTGCTGTAGCATGGTCATGGGTTCGTTCTAAAATAGAGTGGCGTCCGGCTGGGCGGACGTAGGCACGATCTTTGTAGAATAGAACATCATCTTTAATCGTCCAATCAGAGAGGGCCGATTTCATAGGAGGAAGGCATAGGCCATTTAAGGCATCGGAAGCGGCTTGGAAGATGGGATCGGTGTCATCAGGATCAGGGTTCGCAAGAGTTGTCATGAGCTCTTGGTCAAGAAGGCGAATGAACATGGAATCAGGGAGGAGTGTCATGTCTTCGTTATCGATGGTATCGGGCGCATGATCAGGTCGTCGTGACAGGGCATCCGGTGCGGCAAGTTTAGTTCCTGGAACGTGGTGAAGTTCAATATCGTAACAGGAAAGAAGGAGCTGCCATCTGGCTTGGCGACGGGTTAACTTCTGCGCGGTACGGAAATAAAGGAGGTTCTTATGATCGGTGAAAACAATGATTGGATGGGGGTTTCCTTCCAAATAATGACGCCATTCTTGGAGTGCACGGATAACGGCCAGGAGTTCGCGATCGAAGATCTGATAATTCCTTTCAGCGGGGTTCAGGGATTGGGAGAGGTATCCGCATGGATGATACACGCCGTTCTCATCGGTCTGTAGTAAGACAGCACCCGTTGCAACAAGGGACGCATCAGTGGCTACTGCGAATTGTCGAGATGGATCAGGGTTACGAAGGACAGGCTGCTTTAGGAAACATTCTTTCAGCGTCGTGAATGCCTCTTGACAAGGTGTAGACCAAAGGAAGACGTTATCTTTCTTTGTAAGATCGATAAGAGGTCGTGCGATGTCGGAATAGTGAGGGATGAAGTTCCGGTAGAAGTTGCAGAAACCCAGGAACGACCTGGTTTCCTTAACAGTAGATGGAGTTGGCCAATCGCGGATTCCGTCAGTTTTGGCAACATCCATAGCTACACATCCAGGGCGAATAATCATGCCGAGGTATTCAACTTCTTGTGCGTCAAAGGTACACTTCTCTGGTTTCAAAAAGAGTCGTTCTTCGCGGATCTTCGTGAGAATTCGACGGGTACGAGCGTGATGTTCATCCAGATTATCCGAGAAGATGAGGATATCGTCCATATAGATTACTAACCATCCTTCGTTGATCTCCTGTTGGAAAGTACGGTTCATGTAGGCTTGGAACGTGGCTGGGGAATTGCAAAGCCCGAAAAACATGACATTCGGTTCATAGAGTCCGAATTCAGTGGTGAACGCAGCTTTCCATCTATCATCAGGGTGAATGCGGATATTATTATAACCGGATCGGACGTCCATCTTGGTGAAATACTTTGCTCCATGTAACCGTGCGACAAGGGATAAGGGAAGCGGCAAGGGGTAGGCATTCTTGATCGTCCAATCGTTGATATATCGATAATCTTGACAGGGTCGGAGATCTCCGCTCTTCTTTCCTACGAAGAAGAAACCGCTGGCTTGTGGCGACTTGGACTCTGAGATAAAACCTTTCTTTACGTTCTCGTCTATGAATGCTTTGACAGCGGTTCGTTCGGCGATAGAGAGGGGATAGATTTTCGATGTTTTGGGAATGAATCCGGGTTTCGTTTCAATACGATGGTCAATACCAGGTCGTTCAGGAGGGAGTTGATTAAGACCGTCTTTAGCGAAGATATCAGCGAAGTCGTGGAGATAGGTGGGTACGAGTTCTTCGAAAGTTTTCTTCTTCTGTTCTAAGCCCGCAGCTAGAGCGAATTGCTGAGCTTTGTTACTAACTTTCGCGTATTCCATAGGCCGAGGCAAAGGCTTGACCGTGGGTTTCTGTTCAGAACGACTGGTACCGTCCGGGGTCAATGGCGTATCCATGGTGGTATTCGAAATTACCCGGAGTTCGGATGCGTCAATGGAGTATTCCACCAGAAATTCGTCATCATCTAGGTTATACATAGAGACTTCTCGCACTGGTGCGGCAAAGTTCTCCTGCGTCCAGACGTCTTCCTTGGTATCAAAAGTTTCGTCGTCTTCGTCGGGGATGGGGAGTAGATCAGGTAGTGAATCAGTGGTGGGATAGGCGTGTGGCGCTTCTTCGTCAACGATCTCTTCGATGGTTGCCTTGGGGTAAACGACAGGGGTTTCGGTGATTGGTGATTTCTTAAGTTTGGATTGCTTCCAAGTCCGATCTATGGGTTCTTGTCGAAATAGAAGTGGAAGATCGTTCTTCTTCCTTTCTTTGTCGACTTCTTCTTCAACTTGATTACTCTTTTCCGTTCGAGAAAGGATAAGAGTTTCAGCTGCCCAGTCAATAACCGGGTTCATAGCTCGTAGCCAGGGATCCCTAAGAGAATTTGATCTCTTCTGCCAAGACGCGTGACGTTAAACTTTCCTATCATAGTTCGTTCGTCAATCTTGATGGTGAGAACGCAGTATCGTCGTATAGCTCCGCTTTTGGAATAGCTTCCATCGGCGGTAGTAACCCGGAAAGGTTTACTAAGGGCGTGGGTTCGGATCTTGTGTTTCTTGACGAAGTCTTCGGAGATAAAGGTTCCGGCTGCTCCGGAATCAACGACTGCGGTGGTTTCAACGGTTTTTCAGACGTGTTTTCGAAATAAGGGAAAGGGGAACTCGAAGTTCCTTTCGTTCACCAACTTTTCGTACAAGTCTTATGGGTACATCGAGAGATACTGACGTTGATCCAGTCTCCCATATCAAAAATCCTCATTGAGACGGCGGACTTCCGCTTCTTCTTCTTCTTCATCATCGCTGCTTTCTACTTCTTTGCGGCGTACCGGAGTCTTTCCTTTCTTCTTCTCTGGACAGTTCTTAAAAAGATGTCCGGTCTTGTGACAGGTAAAACATTTTCCGGTGCGGAAATGTTCAGCGCGTTCTTCTTCAGAAAGCCGATCGATTACCATAGCATTGGGGTCTTTAGACGGCACGTATCGGTTGGATCCGAAGTTCTTCTTCTTCTGGGGTTGGTTACGCGCCCTGATGGCGTTTAGATGGAGGCGTGAGTTGTCGAGGTTAATACAAGTGGAGAGGACAACTTCGAAGTCGTCGGAGACATCGCCCGTGCCGTAAAGGCGAGCGAGCAGTCCTGGATGCAGTCCGTCTAGGAAGAATTGCTTCTTCGCGACGTCGCCTTGAACTCCTGCTCGACGTGTGAGCATCAAGAACTCCGAGATATAATCTTGAAGTTCGGTTCCTTGTCTAAGGTTACGGAGCTTGGCTAGCGCCGTTCCTGAGGGATCAAGCGGCCTAAACGCGCTTTTGAAGTCGGCGAGGAATTCAGTCCATGTACCGTATCCTTTGACAAGGCCTGCGGTGGTCTTATTGTTAGGATCTTGCGCTTGCCTGAGGAAATCTTCCTTCCAGTAGCGCGCGTTCCCTTCATTCATGAAGGAGGTTACGAAAATGATTTTCTGTTTATCGTCGACATAGATTTTCTCGTTAATATCGAGATAGGACTGGCATGACATCAAGAATCCTTCGGATTTATCTCTATCTCCGTCAAAGACCGGGGGAGAACCGATTTTGATTTCAATGGGTTTCGTGGAAGACATCGGGGGATTCAAAGGTGGTAAGGGTGGTACAGGCACCTAGGTTCAAAGCACCGAAGATTGGTGTCAACGACGTCAGCTTGTTAGCTTCTGGGGACCTGGAGTTCTATCTGTCGTGATGACCAGGGTTTGTTCTGTTCTGGGTTCTACAACGCGTGATAGCGATGTATTCGTAGAAAGACTTTAATCTTTTGTTACGAACTAGGATGGGTCTGACGTATGGCTACTCGATAAGAGTAATCGGCCAAGGTCGGTTCAAGGCTTCGGCGTATACCGATGCTTCAGAGTTTCTAAGACAAGAAGAGGAGAGTGTCCTCGACTCGAATCAAGTTCAATACGACTTAAGATTGGAGGTCTTAAGCGAAGGAGATTCCAGGTAAAACCTAGTAAGATTAAAGTAAAGAACTACATAGTACAGGGCGGGTTTATATAATAAACGGTAACGACTTTAGGGCCGGTACGATGAGGTCATAGAGACGAGTCAGAGATAAGACGAGTCAGAGATAAGACGAGTCAGAGATAACAAGAATAGTCCATCTAGCGACGGCAGGATGCGATCGTGATGTAATACAATGATGTAAGAGGAAGAAAATGAATAGGGGCGTACTTGACTGTAACACCATCTACGACAGCGTCATTCAGCTCTACCATGATGTGCAGAAGGACCACTATCATGCAAAGAAATGCCGGGCCGCCAGAAAGAAATGGGCTCGTACTGCAGGGTATTGTGAAGCTTTTTTTATCATTTGTATCATTTTCTGACGGCTATGCAGAATCCTGACTCGCGATGATCCAAACAGGCGCCATGACTGGGGCTTGAAACTCCAACTGGACTGATCGTGTTTTTAGCATTTTTGTAGGATACCTGATTGTAGTATGACGCAATGACATCATGATTTGTTTGGTTTCAATTACTGTGCACTTTCTGTAGTGATGCTGTGAGCATTCTGCAGTATTCCTGTCTGGCCTACCCAATGCTCTGTATTGTTTTGCTCAGTGTAGCTAACACTCTGTACCGCTCTGTGCAGCTCTGTACAGTATCATACAGTGGCTCAAAAAACTGTCCGCATGTTTTGACATTTTTCACTATCTATGATATTGTGTGAGAATGAACAAATTCCTCAAGGACATACTTATACCACATTGTAGTATGGCTTCAGGGCTTTTATTTGAGCCCTACACCGTGGGAATCGGCGGAGATATGGTGGAGATATAAGGCTTATAAAATGATGACTCATGTGGACAGTTTTTTGAGTGTATATTAAAACTATATAAATCATTATTTATGACACCATAAAAATCATGCCACTATTATATAAATTATAAAGTGGTGTCATTATGTTATTTTATGACTATATCTAACTATATAAACCAGAATATCTCATGTATCATAGTCATAATCACCATGAAAGCCATCTCCTCTGCTCAAAGAGATAATATCCTCTCTCTGTCTTATGCTGGCCTCTCTGCTCACCAAATTTCCTCTAGAACTGGAATATGCAAGTCCACTGTGGCCAAGTTCATCAAAGAAAGCCACCCAGACAAGGAAAACTCTTGTGGAGGACGTCCATCCAAGCTTACCTCTACTGACAAAAGGGCTATTATCCAACATATCACTACAGGAAAGGCTGATAATGCTGTCCAAGCCACCCATTATATCAATTCCACCATCACTACCCCTGTCTCTTCACAAACTGTGAGGAATGTTCTCAAGGCAGCTCATCTCAAGGCAGTAACAAAGAAGAAAAAGCCTCTTCTCTCCATCAAACATAGGCAGAGAAGACTAGCCTTTGCCTTAGCTCATCAACACTGGACTGTAGAGGACTGGAAGCATGTTATATGGTCAGATGAGACCAAAATCAATAGGATTGGGTCAGATGGGAAGGTGTATGTATGGAAAAAGAAGGGAGATGGCCTAACAGACAGAGAGGTTAATGGGACTGTCAAGTTTGGAGGAGGTTCTTTAATGGTATGGGGCTGTATGGGATGGAATGGTGTGGGAATGCTTGCTGAGGTTGAGGGGAAGATGAATGCTGAGCAGTATGTGGACATTTTAAATGACCACTTGCTGCCTAGCTTGGCAGAATCAGGGATTGATGAAGAAGATATCATTTTCCAACAGGATAATGATCCCAAGCACACATCCAGAAGAGCTAGGGAATGGTTTGAAGAACATAACATCAATGTTCTTGACTGGCCAGCACAGTCTCCTGATGTCAATGTCATTGAACATCTCTGGGGAACACTCAAGAAAAAGCTTCAAGCCTATGAAAACCCCCCTAAAGGAGTATGGGAGCTTTGGGAGAGAGTAGCAGTGGAATGGGGGAAGATCACAGCTGAGGATTGCCAGAAATTAATTGAGAGTATGCCTAGAAGGATAGAGGCAGTAATTAAAGCCAAGGGAGGTCATACAAAATACTAGAATACCTGGTTATTACTGTAAAATACTTGAGTCAAAAAACTGTCCGCATGAGTCACCATTTTGTGAGCCTTGTATCTCCACCATATCTCCACCGATTCCCACGGTGTAGGGCTCAAATGAAAGCCCTGAAGCCATACTACAATGTGGTATAAGCATGTTTTTGAGGCATTTGTTTGTTCTCACACAATATTATAGATAGTGAAAAATGCCAAAACATACGGACGGTTTTTTGAGCCACTGTACATTACACTGTACGACTCTGTACAGAGCTGCACAGAGAGAACCCTCTCTGTGGGCTCTGTGGCTCTGTCCAGCACTGTCCAGGGTTGTACAGAGGACCCTGGGTTTGCTGATGTGGGTACCGGCGACTACGCGCCAAAAACCCCGAGTCCCTTTTAGGCACATCACACATTTTTGAGTCAAGGCCAACAGATAATCAGTCAAATAAATAAAGTTGCCGACGATACAGTAATACACAGGCTATAGCGCCGTACGATGCAATCGCTCGACAAGGACGTAGGTTAACGTAGTGCAAATGCTCTACTGCAGTAACTGCACAAGAACCGAGAACTTCCAAATCAAGAACAAGACAAGAATTTGCCGCGACAAATGCCACGACCGCAGATGAAGAAACAAAGGAACAGTGAGAAATTCAAATTTCCAAGCAAGTGGATAAAACTTGCAGTCTCAAGCAGCCTTGCTCTGGCCTGCTCCTCTCTTCGCTGGTGAAGCTTGTCCCGCTGGTCCGTCGGCCTTGCGCTTCCCTTTGCCCTCTGTAGCTTTGGTAGCAGGTTTGGTGAAGAGGCCCTTGGCAGCACCGGTCGTTGGCAGCAGCCTCATCGACCTCAGTCCCGTTTGGTACACACGAGAGCCGTACGGACGCCTCTCGTCAGGACCAAAAGTCCAGCTGTGTGGTGCCAGGTCAGCCAACAGCCTTTTGATCAAGCACACACTCACAGTCGTAAATTGACATCCACGACGACAGGCACAGGTCCAGTGAATTTCTGAGTGTACTCTGACGGGTGCATGAGCACCCCCGCGGCGTCACGGACATTAGGAACCATGACAGGAACGTCCTCGAGGGCATAAAGTTTGATAGCAGACTGATAAAGCCCCTGGGGGTCTGGCATATCTTTCAGGGTCCAGTCCGTGATACCTGTTGCCTGTCAGAATCCACCGTCACACAAATTTTGACACACACCTCGCTCAGCTTGATTAGACACCCTCTTCTTTTTGGGCGAGAACCGCTCTTTGATCACATCTGCGTCAAGCCAAAGTTAGGTATGCAAGACCACTGACCACTACCAATCTTACCAGCTGTGAATCTCACGTCCGTGTCTAAATCGTCCTTAACAAATCAGTATCAAATACCAAGGCAGGAGTGACCTACTTTCAAAGTCTTCCAGCGAGCAGGCTATAATGTCATAATGATGTATCAATTACCTGTCATTGTAGAAGGGTAGTGATACATCCACACCTATAAACCATAGGCATAGACATATGATGTATCAATGATATATCACTTGTCCCCCACCTTCAGTAACCAATAGAGCGTGATACATCACCTACCACCAGTGATAAATAATATATTTCATGATACATCACTGCCTCATATACTAGTAGCATATCCACTGTAAATCATGATACATTGCATTTTATTGATATATCATCGCCCTCTACTGAGTATTAATAAAATATGCTACTTGGATTGTGATATATCACCAGTACTTAGCTTTTTGAATTCAGCGTCACCCTACTAGCAGTGTGATATATCATGATGTACTTAGCTTTTGAATTCACCCTACAGTGTTCCATGTGATATATCACTTACTCTGGTATAATGCGGCTAGCCATACAGTGTGATATATCATGATGTACTTAGCTTTTGAATTCACCCTACAGTGTTCCATGTGATATATCACTTACTCTAGTGGTATACTGCGGCTAGCATACAGTGTGATATATCATGATCTTACTGCCAGTATATCAGTAAAATGCTAATGATACAGTGTTAGATGGTCTGAATTGTCTTGCGGCAGAAGCATTCAAATACGAACACCAAAAAATCTCAAATTAACATTGTTGACAAGGGTGCATAGGCATAGTATGTATCTATAAGGCTGGAGGCCCACAATGACCTCATTTCCAAGACTTTTTCCAAGACTCTGAAGCTTGTACCGCGTTCTGCTTTCTCTTAGGTCCCGCCTTCGTCACTTGCTGTAAGCTGGTATCACCAATTTTGTTAGCTTCCTCTGCTCGAGTTGAAGGACATCCTGAGCGTCCTGAGCGCCTAGCTTGGGTTGCGACAGTGTGTTCGGAGGATGTTGAAGGCTTTGAATTATGCGCCAACATGACCTGGTCAGGTTCAAGTGGCAGCGCAGGTTGTGGTGAAGAGACCAGCTGCGCAGGTTTCTGTAAAGAGACTGACAGTGCTGGTTCCGGTAAAGAGACCGGCAGTGCACGTTCAGGTACCGGCAGCGCGTGATTGGTCAAAGAGACCGGCAGCGAAGGTAAAGAGACCGGGAGCGAAGGTAAAGAGACCGGCAGTGAAGGTAAAGAGACCGGCAGCAAAGATTCAGGCAAAGAGGCCGGCAGCGAATGTTGATCAACAGGAATGTCTGGTACGAAGGTGAGTGGTGGGGAAAATGGCAGTTGAGGCTGCATGATGGCGCTTGGGAGTGCGGCAGACGTAGTCCCATTTCCGTTGAACCCATATTCCCTTCTCCAAGCAGTGATCGGCGAGTCTGGAGCGATGGAAGACATGTAAGATGGGTTGGGGTCTGGGTGACTTTGCCATCCATTCCATTGGGGTGGATCAAGTACCAGACCAGAAGTATTGAACTCCTGCCCTTGAAGTAGGCGGGCACTTGACTGGTCTGATGGCTCATCTAGCGAAATTAGGTCCATGGTCCATGGAGGCGCGCTGGGTGTGGATGCCGAAGGGTCCATGGTCAATAGAGGAGGCACACTGGATGTAGATGTCGGAAGGTCCGTGGTCGATAGAGGAGGCACACTGGGTGTAGATGTCAAAAGGTCCATGGTTGATAGAGGAGGCACACTGGGTGCGGATGTTGAAATGAAATCCGTCGTCAATGGAGGAGGCGCACAGGGTGCAGATGGCGAAACGAGGTTGATAGTTGATGGAGGAGGTGAACTGGATGCGGAAGCGGGAACTGAAGTTCCCTTCACAGAAGGACCTATTGATATATCAGCTGTTATTCTATGAACTAACCGAGGATGATACTTACCATAGATGCGACCCAGGTATTTTTCAAACGGTAACAAATATTGTTCGTGGAAGTTTGGTGTCGATGTCTTGAAGCTCAAACCCTCCAAGGATTTACCGTGGTGATAACTAACAAAAGATGACGAATTAACTTCTTGCAAATGAGATAGCAAGAAAGACGCACCTTAACGTCATGATATCACCTTCGCATAAAGGGTCAGGCCCACCCATAACAAGTGAGTAGTGCCATCCACCCGTGAGAGTTGAAAGCTCTTCGAATATTTGACCCAGCACGATGGGCAGCTCTTGAATGGCACTTCCAAAAGGCGTCAGCTGAAGCGCTGAAGTCGGACACAACAACATCAAAGAATCGCTTACCGGTAAATTTCCTCTTTTGTCCGATCTTGACCCGCCACAACTGATCCCAACTTTCTGGCAGCATTGATATGCACAGTCTCATCGCGAACCTCATCCTTTACATCTTCTGACTCGTTTGCAAAACATTCGCTCGTGTGCTGCCGGATAGCACGAAGCTTCTGATCAGGTAGTACAAGGTTGTTTTCCTTGATGTCGTCAGAAACTAAGGGCTTGACTTTAGATTCATAGTGAATTTGCGAGTACACCTCGACTTCTTTGAGGTCTCGGGTGCCTCGTGCACGCTGGCCAAGCAACGTAGTTAGGATTTTGCTAGTTGAGGTCCCACCAGGTGTAGTTTTTCCTTTGGTATTGTTTCGGAAACACTCCCGCAATTTCTGTAGACCAGCTAATCAGGATTCCGACCTATATTCAGCTCGATATCAAAGAAACGCACTTTGCGTCAATGCTTGATGGCAGCATTGAGCACCTCTGTCTGCTCTGCATCCAACTGGGAGAGTTTTTCCCCGTCGCTCACACTGTTTTCATGGTCCGGCTCAGCGTTGACCTCATCATTGGCCAAGTCAAGACCAGATTCGTCGATCTCGGTGTCCTCGTCAGGTAAGTTTTTGCTTGGCTCTCTGGGCCAAACTCTCAAATGTTCGGGGAAACCACTGAACCATTTTGGGTACAGTAGTTCGAAGAATCGAACTATTTTCTTTTCTTTCTGCATCTGAAGGTATGTTGGCACTTCGTTTTGCAGCCATGAAAGTTCCGCTGCCGTCGTCCACCTCGGAGGAGCCATCTGAGCATACAATGTCAGTGCGATATCCGTTTTTTCTAGCTGGTATGCTCACATCTTTCCGGTCACCTTTTGGGGGGGGGGTGCAGCAGGTCACTCGTGCGTTACAAATTTCCTCACCGCATCCTTATTCAGCTCATTTTTTTTTCACAAAGTCAACCAATCAATACCAATCAATCGATGAGGAGTACAAATACTTTTTCTTCATTGCTAACTTGAACTTACTGCCTTCATTCAGCTTCGCAAACATGTCCCACTCAGATATCAGGTGCTGCCACAACCGTCCCGTTCAAATGTTACCCCATCCCTGCTTCACACTCGAGCAGTTCATCGAGGCCATTCGGTTGGTTCAGAGTGGACAGAGTAAGTCGTTTACTTCCAGCTCTCCATAATGCTCACTGATTATTGCAAAGTTCCCCCATTCTCTCCCCAACCATATGGTTGGCCTTATCGACCGGAAGGTGAAGACTGCGCACTTCATGCGCGACACGGTATGCTCAATTTAACTACCATTTTTTTTAAAAAGCTGACACCATACGCACTGTGCAGACCCTCACCAGGGCGCAATAGACAGCGACAGCCACGCAAATGTTGTCAAGGACGACACTGATGTCTCTGACGTCTGGATCGGCCCTGCGGACAATGTCGATGAAGATATTTTGCCCGGTTCCAAGCTTGACTTTCCCTCCAGTGATGGGGAAGAATCTCAGCGAGAGCGTCGGATGGTTGATGTCAATTCCAGTGTTGAAACACTTGTCAATATTGACATCGACCCTGCTAGTCGTTTCAAATGGTTTGTAAGTACGGGCGATCATGGAATGGGATTGTTCAATGACATGTACGTGGTCTCTTCATTCATTTGGATTTGTGCCTCATGTTCAATACTTAGCTATACTGCCCGCAAACTTCGTGCTGCCGGCACAACAGTATATTACTTTAGAACACTCTCTGAAGCGAAGGAGCATTTTCAGACCGCGTTTAATGCATGGTGCAGTGAGGCAGTGTGATATGTTCCGTACTATATGCTCCGTCATTTGTACATATTAAAATATAAGCTTTTGCCATGGTCACATCCAACATCTTTTGCGCGCAAGTCGGACATTCTTAATATTGAGTCTTCTAGTGATCATCCAACCTGTCACAACCCTTTTAACGAATTAACGCAGGGGCAGAGACTAGGACTCAAACAAGGTTATCACAACAAGAAAAGAGTATAATGAGCAGGGACGTCTTAGGATTGCTAGCAGTAAGCTAATACAAAAGAGGTTTGAACTAAAGAACTACTGACTACAACGAGCTACCTATATACATACATTGAAGCGGAGATTGAATCTGAATCTGAACTAACTAACCAATCATTAAATAGGAAAGGGAATCGTACGATGATCTAAATATAACTACACTATGATGTCATGAAACGTGTAACAGCTGTGCAAGGGTTCTCGGGGTTTCTAGAGTCACGTGACTTGATCGCTTGAGTAAGGAAGTCAAAATCAGGGATGTCGGAGATAACGGTAGTAGGCGCTAATGGAATGGAGAAGTTCGGGAATGTAAAGGATAAGTTCGGGTTAGGGTTTGTGAATGTCATAGGTACAGACGCTGACTGAGCGCTAACGACAGGCGCTTGTGATGGGCGCTTAACTGGTGTCTTATGAGTGTCTTTAGAGGTCTCACGAGTGTTCAAGAAAGAATAGTGATTTGTGTTTGGAATTCGTGACACAACCCGTACCAAGTAAGTACAACACAGTATACAAATCTATCTGTCCCGAAGTGTGGCTCGCATTTGAAATATGTATATACGTACCTATCTGTCCCGAAGTGTGGCTCCCATTCGAAAAGACTGGCCCATCAGGCCATTTGCCGTGAACCAATTCCAAATGCTAAGTTACCCATATCAATGCCGCCAAAATACAAGTCTGAAGAAGATCATCACAATGCTAGATTGAAAAGCAAGCGAGCTCACTATGCAAGGTTAGCTTTTATCACTGTCCTATGGAATTAACAGTTATCTGGTTCGTTCTGATCTAGAAACAAGACCACGGAGCAGGCGAAGTCACGAACTCGTTGGCGAAAACACTCTCAAATGAGTGAAGTGAGTCTTTCTTGTGTCAGTGCGCACGATATATGTTGACCACTATCTAAGTCCATTGTCGTCAAGTTTCAAGACCTTGATATACTGTACATGGAGCTAGGCTACAGAGCAGGAGTTCCCGAGCACAATACCTTCATGAAACGGTTTCTTACAATACTTCAACGCGTTGACACAGAAGGATGGGATGTAATATCCCCCGAGCTCGAAGATGCATATACTTATGTGCACAATTTGCACCAGCACATTACCAACCTGGCAGAGAGTGTACGGCTATGTGCACCAGGGATTGGGCATGACGCTCTATCACAGCAGTGTGAGCAACTGCTCCATTTGACAACACGACGGCTTGCTGCAGAAAGGGAGTTTTTTGCACTGGTAGATCAGGGCGGTACTGAAGCATATGATGATGCTATATCAGCAGGTTCACTTAGCTGGCAAACACCTTCCGAATGAGTCATGCGTCAGTTTCTTAATGTTATCTGATTACATTGGATTAACTTGACCTGTAGTGTAGTCGCACTGGTCCTACGCTTATCTACACGTAAAAGAACCGGGAAAAACTGGTGTTTGGCACATGGTACACAGCCTCATCTCAAGACTCAGAATACACCATGGTTGCTAGTCGAAAGCGGCGAAATCTCCGGCAGTTCCAGAACAACTTCTTTGCTCACAATGATGCTGCGGGAAGAGCAGTCAGAAATGAGACCAACGACACTCCGCAAGAGACTCGCCAGGAGCAGCAGCGCAAACACATCAGTTTTGAGGCCGCAACTACTGGTCGTCTTGCTGTTTCTTCACTATACTACACAGTTCCACACTCACCCGCCAAACACCGATTTGGGGAGCCTGAATCACAAGACGTACACGATCTACCAACAGACGATTTTGATTTTTCATCACTCAATGACGTTGATGAGGATATTGGTTCTGGCAAGCGAAAGCAGACTGCTAGGGTAAGTCATATATTGATTGTCAATGCAGTAGTCATTCTAACCAAGGTCTCCTTAGGATGATCCTTTGCACCTGTGGAATTCTGATGCCGACCTCTTTCTACTAGAATTTATTCGCTTAGAGGGTCGCGGTGACTTAGCACAAACCACGTGTTTCTGTGGGGAAGCAGACCCGATATATCGATGCCAAGACTGTCACGGTGCAGAATTGGTGTGTCTCTCATGCGCTCTGCACATACACGAGAGGCAACCGCTTCACAGGATAGAGGTGTGTATACTTTTTGTTTCTGAATATCATTTTGAACTTACAAAGTCGCAGTGTTGAAATGGCACCTCATTTCAGACCACCACATTGAAGGCCTTGGGAGTCCGCTTTCAGCTGGGGCATCCCATTGGTGTCCAATGCGTCAATCCGATCCCTACATTCAACGACGACTTCATTATTATCGACTACAATGGTGTCCATGAAGTTGGACTCGATTTCTGTGGATGTGAGTCTGCACAGCCGCACATCACCCAGTTGCTACGTGTTCGCTTGTTTCCCGCCACCACACTGGACCCTAAATCAGCCGCCACCTTTCGCGCGCTAGAGTATTTTCAAATGCTGTCCTTTGAATCTAAAGTATCGGCATGGGAGTTTTATAATACTGTTGCTCGCCTCACGGATAACACAGGCACTTGTGTCCTAAAGGTAGGCAAAGTGGTCTTGTATTCAAATACATTTGTACTGACATGTATTACTTAGGATCGCTATGCAAGTCTTCTTCGGATGATACGTGAATGGCGCTTCATGATGCAAATGAAGCGCTGCGGTCAGGGTCATCATCCTGGAGGCATCCAAGCAACAGAGGCCGGTGCTTGTGCCGTCTTATGCCCTGCCTGTCCCCATCCAAGCAGGAATCTACCTGTTGGGTGGGAAAATTCTCCACCGGAATTCAGTAAGAACGCCCATACAAGTTTTGCGTTTCATTCTTAACTCAGCCACAGATTTTTGTATGCAATGTTCCTGGCTATTGATGCAAATTTCCGACTAGTTCGGCGTAATGTATCCTCAGATGCCGTTGATCCGGGACTGAATCGCGGGTATGCATTTTTTGTGGAGGAGACCGCGTACAAGGACTTTCTGGCTTCGCACTACAGGGTGGGGAATCCCCAGGAGGTAAGTTTAATATACTTGCCTAAGACACGCCGCTAACCATGGTTAAATGTAGAAGAGCACATGCTCTAGCCACTCTGCTGTGAACCTAGCAGATACGAGGGCTTCGTGTGGACTTGCGGCAACGGGTGCAGGCACAGTTGATTGTGCGCGGCACAATTTCAAACGACCGTGTTCAGTTGGTGACTTACAAAAAGCAGAAAGGTGCGTTCTTCTATCTAATGCATCATAGTCGTGTTTCCTTAACCTACCATTGATAGGTACATCAATATGGATTATCTATTTTTTTCAAGCATGCGCTCTTCACAAGACATTCACGTCCTCAACATATCTTACAATATCGCCTGTCAGTGGAACAAAAATCTTTGGTCACGCATGTCGACATTCCCACACCAGTATCATATCGACCACGATCACAAGGTTGTCGCATTTTTTGTTCCTAAGTTTCATCTACCAGCACACATCGCCAGTTGCCAAACGAAATTCTCGTTTAACTTCATCAAGGGTGTTGGGCGGACTGATGGCGAAGCCCCAGAGCGCGGGTGGGCAGATATCAACCCCATCGCTACAAGCACTCGCGCGATGGGACCTGGATCCAGGCGAGACACCTTAGATGATCACTTCAACGATTGGAATTGGAAGAAGGTTTGCACCATGGGTTAGTTTTCACTCTATCAATAACAATTCAATACTGACTCAGATTTACTCTCACAGGCACAACTCTCCTCCGTAAATATAAGGCTGCAATACCTGAGGTTGAAGAACGTGCCTCTGATCTGAAGGAGTTTGAGGCCGCCCTAGATCC